CTCTGTCCTCATGCTCGTCCCAACCCCTGGGAACGGGGCTCTCACTCCTGGCTGCCTCCTTCCCATCCCTGCAGCGTGGCCTCGGAAGGGGAAAGCCACCTCCTGAGAGAGGACTCAGAAGTCTTCAAAATGCTGCAGGAAAATCGCGAGGCACGGGTGACCCCCCGGCAGTCCAGCTCTTTTCGGCTCTTGCAGGAAGCCCTGGAGGCTGAGGAGAGAGGTGAGCCCCCGGGGGGCTCGGGTAGGAGAAGGATGTTCCCCCAGGACACGCTGGACCCCTGACTGGGCATGTTATTAAATTAGTATTTGTTAAGTGCTCATCACGGGAGTGGGCTCTGACTCGTAGAAGCCACAGCTCCTGCACTACAGGAGCTTACGGTCTGGTAGGAGTTACTGGGGTGCAACCCAGAGGTGCTGGCTGGGATCAGGGGAGGTGCCAAGGGAACAATAAACGTGGGCCCGTGTGGCCTGGGTCTCCAAGGACGGCTTCATGGAGGAAGAAGAATCTGACTTGGCCCTTGAAGAAAGATCAGGACTTTCACAAACGGCCTTAAGATGGTGGCCGGGAGCAGTGTGGAATGTGGAGGCTGGAGCCGCAGGGCTCTGGGGTGGGACTGACAGGACACTGGGGCCTGGCTGCACGGACGGTGGCCACGGAGGTTGTCCTGGCTGTGAGGCCTCGCACGCCAGGCCTGAGGAGCGTCCCAACCCAGGAGGGCCTGTTAAATAACTCCAGGCGGTGTGTGAGGTGCCAAAGTGAGCAACAGAGATACAAGCATCTGCCAGCCGTCCAGTTGCTCATTCGAGACATTTGCCGAGTTGTCTGATGGACCAGTCACGTGCTGTGTGGAGATCGAAGGCGGTCAGGACCCACGTCTGCCCCGCCAGGAACTCTGTTTATTGGGCAGACTGGCTGCCCAGCTCCCCAGGAAGTGGACCGTGCCGCAGGAGTTCGTGTGGGTGCATGGGGAGTAGGGGGTGAGGGGGGCACTGTCGTGGTCCAGGGGAGAGATGAGGAGGGCCTGGCCTGGGCAGTGGTATCCGGGAGAGAAAGGATGGGACAGACAGTATTTGACTGGCACAGTCACTGGTACCTTGGGGCTGGTTCCAACTCTGATGTTTCGGAGACAAGGTGAGAAGGTTTGGAGCAGAGCTTGTCCATCGCTACCCTGAGGCCTCGGCAGGCTGTGGGAGGGGGCACGGGGAGAGGCGGAAGGGTGGGGGGAGGGCAGCGCAGAGAGGTGGTGACTTCAGCCCTGGAGCCACGGGGTCCTCGGCTGCAGATACCTGATGACAGCCTCATCTTAGCGTTGTTCCAAGGCTCAGGCACAATAATGCACGTGAAAGCCCTTTGGAAACTGTACAGAGGTGCTGTGGCGCTGTTATTGTCTATTATTCTCATCTCCTGATATCATCATCACTGGGTCAGGAGAGAGGAAATGCCTGCTTGGCCTGACGTGTCAGACACCAAGCAGACACTGCTCAGGCTGCCTTAGCTTGGGCTAACTCAACCTTGAACGTGTTCCCTGCCCTTGACCAACCTCAGCCAAGGATCTGGGGTGATCACTTCCTTCCCCCATGACCCCCTCTCATGCCCAGGCTTACTTTAGAGGTCCGCTTGTAAGTGCACCTTTGACAAGGGTCTCTTTGGAGCTGTGTTGGAGGAGGTGGAGTGGGCATCAAAAATACAGCCTGATGGCACTGCTGTGGGCGAGCTCTGATGTGTCTGTCTGTCCTCCCCACCCTCATCCCCCACCCCCCACAGGTGGCACACCTGCCTTCCTGCCCAGCTTGCTGAGCCCCCAGTCCTCCCGGCCCACTTCCAGGGCCCTGGCCATCCCACCCAAGCTCCACACGTGTGAGAAGTGCAGCGCCAGCATCGCGTGAGTGCTGGCGGCCTGGGGGGGCAGGGCACACCCTGCAGGGCAGGGGCCAGGGGCCAGGACGCTCTCAGGAGGGGCCTGCATGGGTCCACTAGCCAGGGACCCTGCGGGGAGCGGGGAGCATTGCTACAGTGGATCACTTCAGCCTTCTTAGGATGCCTGCACTGGCTTTTCCCTGCTGTCTCTCCTCTTCCTCGGTTTCTTTCCCCGCCTCCCTGGAGGAGGAAGAAATGCTACTGCTTTCGATTCCTCTCCAAGCATCTCAAAGCCTCTGCAGATCTGCCTCTGGATGAGGCGCCTCCTCTTGGAAGCTCTTGCTGTTACTTCCTCCTCCCCCTCTCTGGAATGGGATGCGTTTTCCAGAGGTAGGCCCATTTTTCTCATTATAATGCAGCCTCATTCTCTGGAAAATTGAACCCTGCCCACCCCCCGCCGATAAATTTCTTCCGTGCACAGTGGTGAGGGTCAGATGACTCATTCTAGGCAAATCCCTAGCCTCCGTGGGCCTCCGTGTGTCATCTGCAGAACGCGACACTGCCCAGCCCTGCTGTGCAGGCCCAAGGAAGGGGTCCTATGCGGTGTTTCTCAAAGATCAGCAGCTGGACCTCTGAGGGATTTCGGGCCCACACCCCCAGAGTTTCCTCTTTGGGAGGTCCCTAGCCCCAGAGTTTGCATTTCCAATTCAGCCCCAGGTGATGTGATGCTGTGGGTCCTGGCACTGGGACCACATTTTGAGAATCACTGCTCTATTTACAATCCAGAAGATTCAGGATGGTGCTTGTCTGCCTTTGTGTGGGGGAGGAATGACTTTAAAAACTGGGGTTCGGGGGTGTGGGCTGGGGGTTTGTTGAACGGAGATTCCTGAGGGCAGGCCTGGGGAGTCAAGTGACTGAGATTTGGGGACCTTACCGGGTCCTGGCTCTGGGCTGGAAACTAGGTTCCCTGAGAATGGGAATGGTGACGTTGTGCCTGGTGTTCTTGCCCCCTCCCTCCTCCCCCCCCAGGCTCATGGCTCTCTCCTCCCTGTGCCCCCCCGCCCCCCCCGCAGGAACCAGGCCGTGCGTATCCAGGAGGGGCGGTACCGCCATCCGGGCTGCTACACCTGCGCTGACTGTGGCCTGAACCTGAAGATGCGAGGGCACTTCTGGGTGGGGGACGAGCTGTACTGCGAGAAGCACGCCCGCCAGCGCTACTCCGCACCGCGCACCATCAACTCCCAGGCCTGAGCGCCCGGCTGCGCTCTCAGACCACCCTCCACTCTGCGGGCACCTCCACACCCGGGCCGCGCCAATATCAAGTTGGCCTGGAAAGGCGATGGGGGCTGGTGAGGCCCCTTCCTCCTCGCTGAGTGAGGCCAGAGGCTAGGACCTGCCTGTGCTGCGGGTGAGGGCAGCCTCACCTTCCCAGGCCTCTGCTGGATACTCTCGTGTCCCCCTGCTGGACAGGCTCTGCGTCAAAGTGTGAAGTGGGTGCTGCCTTGGACACCTTTGTGTACCAGGGGTTAAGCAGGCTGGGACATGGAGAGAAGTATCTGGAAGGAGAGGGCTGGGCCAGAGGCTACAGGTATTCACTGTGTAAAGTTTTCAACATACGAGCTCTATAAATATATACTGTACGTGGACAAAATAAAGTAGGTGCCCCTCTTTTCTCTCCTCCCCTGCCCCAGCCCCTGGGGATGAGCTTCTCCCTACCACTGGGTGGAGAGTCTTCCTACATACAATTTTTCTCCCCTCTTATTTCCGCCTCCCTCAAACCTCCACCCTACCAGATGCTTCACCACGTGACACTCCCAACTGAAGACACCCACTCCTGTTAGTGGAGGGTCGTGCTCCTCCTGGACCCTCTTTTAAAGATGTGTGTTTTATTGGGATGATCCCTGGTAGAGGAAAGAGTTTCTCACTGGGAGCCCGAGCGGGGAAGGGATGCTAGAGGGCCGGCAGCAAACAGGAAGCAGGCCCTGAGACTCCTGCCCAGCCCCGTCTCCGTGAGACAGTATCTGCGCTGGCGCTCTGTGCCCCTCGCTCTACTTGGTAAGGAGGCTGCTTGCCCTGCTGATGCACCCAGGGGAGCTCGGTGGGCCAGAGAGGGGGCAACATCTAAAGAACCTCCTGCGCTTGCCTGAGGCTGTCTGCACCCGTTTGAGAAAGCTCATCCCCAGGAGTAACCTTGGACAGGGCTGTGAGTTAGCTTTCCCTGGGAGGGACAACCCTGCAGCGCCCCTACCCTGAGGACCAACACCCTCCAAGCCAGGGTTGGTCTGCCTGCCCCTTCCCCGGGAGCCCCAGCTGGCTTCGCTGGTGGTTGATTTGAAAGCTGCCGCTAGGCAGGGGGGCAGTGGTCCTCTGCTAGATTTTTGGCTTGATTCACCCATCACTCCCAGTCCTAATTCCAGAGGACACTTCAGAAAGGTGCATGGGTGCTGCTGGGTGCTCTAGACCTACCTTATCGCCCACTCAGCCTGAGGGAACAGATCAAAGCTGGGCTTCAGAGGGTGCTTTGTGCTATCTGGCTCTTTGGGGAAGGAATCTTGGCAGAGACTGTGTAGCATTGCCTCCCCAGGCACCTTGATGTAATTTACACCTTGCTATAATTGTCTCACCTTTTGCCTGGATGGCTGTCTTTATTTTCGTAGGAAAGATCAAGGCTGTCTGCGGCTCAGGAGTTGTCAGGCCAGAGCTGTCTGGTCCCAAGGGGGAAGGGGTCCTTGGCGCCACCTAGTGTCAGGTGTAGCCCTTGGCGGGGAGAATGCTCACAAAAGGGGATTCACTCCTCTGTAAATTCTCAGGTCCTGGCACAGTGGGAGTACAGAGATACAGCACTTTTCTGGCTTTCCTAAAGATGGTAGTCAAGTGGCAGCGACTGAGATGGCATGAATGAAATAATGTTACATGGTAGTGAGTGTAAAGAACTCGTGCGGAACAGACAGGAGCGCCCTGAGAGTTCAGAGCAGGGGCCGTGGGTGTGAGAGGAAGAATAGGACACAGACAGATGGAGGAGAGAAATGCAGAGTGAGGGGGTGAGTGCAAATGGCATGATCAGTTTAGGGCAGCGGCTGAAAGCGACACTGAGATAAGATTGCAAAGGAAGACGGGAGCCTTGAATGTTGTAAGATATGGTTTGAATTTCTTCTTGCGTCTCTGGGGACACTGAAAAATTTTCAGCAGGTAAGTGACAGGTTGGAAAAGGGTGTGTTAGAATCTTAATATGGTCAGATCTTCGCCTGTAACAAACCATGCTGGGCTAGCAGTGCTCTAAGGAATGGAGAACAAAGGGGGAGTGGAGGCCCATGGGAAGTGGGTCGGCCAGTGAGTTGTTGAGTGCCTTTCGAATAGTGGACGGGGGTTCAAGCTAAAATCCACCTCTCTGTGTCAGCCTGCTTTCCTCCCCGGGGCCAGAGGGTTTCAGCATCAGAGCTCTCTGCAGCCACACAACTAGCCCAAGCTTGGGGGTGAACTTCTTTGGAAGGCAGAGTTATTAGTCCATCTCATTTGTCAGCAGAGAAGGTTGGGGGCAGCCTTTGGTCTCTGCCCAGCTGTGTACACCCACCCCCTTTGACCCAGACATGCTGGGGTGGGGAGGGGGCACCGCCCAAACATGCGGCTGTTATTTTTCCAGTGCTGTGCCCTTTTTACTTTTTCTTCATTTTGGGGAATAACTTCAGAAATGATGACAGATTCGAGTTAGAAGCGACCTGAGAGAGCATCTGATACAGCCTTCTATTAGAGACGAGAAAATGGCTTTCCCAAAGTTACACCAATAGATAATTCTAAAGTGCTTTAAACTCCAATCCTCACCATTCTGAAGTAGGTACTGTTGTCATGCTTGTTGTATAGATGAAGAAAGCAACGACAGGGAGGCTAAGTCGCTGGTCTAAGAGCTCCTAGCAGTAAGGGGAGGGGGGCAAAGGATGAGCCAGGAGCCTGACTCCTGGGTTTCTGGTTTGCCCTGGGGTGCGCTTGCCTTCCCTTCCAGGCCATAAGGGAGGTCACCACAGCTTCCAGCCATCTCTAATCTGGCAGGAGCTGCCCTAGGCTCTTGGCTTTGCCCTTCCTCGCACTGGGCCCAGCTCAGTGCTGAGCTGGCAGGAAACATGCTTCCTGAAGCTGGGATTTCCCTATGGGGGCTGGGAGGCATCGAGCATCCCTGGCCTCAGCCTGAAGGATGACTCGGCTGGGCTACCATGTGTCTCAGGAACTCACGGTAGCTGCTCACCCCTCAGGTGGGCAGCGAGGGGGTGGCTGTGCTGCCCCTCCCATTCCTTGAAGCATCACTCAAAGGGAGATGAATCTCCTCTGGTAGAAGGTGGGGTGAAGGAGAAACAGCCCTCTGGGCGGTGAAGGCCTGGCCCAGCTCCGGGCCTATGTTGGCCCTCAACTGCGAGGGATCCCAGCCGCCCTGAAGATTCTGGCATATCTGCATGGAGAGGGGAGAATGGCCTGGAGGGGAGTGTGCCGCGCGCGCGCGCGCGCGCGCGTGTGTGTGCGTGTGCGTGTGTCTGTGTGTGTGTTCTGTGTGTGGTTTGAGCCCCTTCGGGGAGGGTAAAAACTAATACATAAACATGTCCTGCCCCAGAGTCACCACGGAGACTGCTTGGAATCTGGCCCTACATTCTCCAAATTCAGGACAAGATCTGGCAAAGGTTCCCTCACTTTACCTCCCCATCCTCTGACTTTGGAGGGAGGAAGCCGCCTGATGGCCAGCCTTCCTCCTCTCCTCCCCAGGGAGGCCTGGCGTGGGACCTTCACGGGCTGTTGGACTTGGGTGAAGCAGTTCCCCCAGGCCCAGGTTTCCCTCTCTGTACCTGGGAGAGAGGAAGGGGGGGCGGTGCTTTCCAGGAGGATAGGGTTGGGAGGGGGCAACCCAGAGAACCGGCAGCTAGCAGGGAAGAAATTGGCCTGAAAAATCAAGGTGTTAAGAGAGGCTCTCATTCTTCCCCGGGCTTAGCTGCAGGCCTGTTTCCCAGAAGTTAGAATGTTGTAGTTCGTGACTCTGATTGCTGACAGGGCTCCTGCGTAGGGTGCTGGCAGAAGGGAAGGAGGGAGCTGGAGGTGGGCAGACTGTCTTCTCCCTCCCAGTTAATAACCACTTGCTCCCAACGCCTCCAGCTCCAGCTCCGGCCCCCTCCCCCAGAGGCTCAGGTGCAAGTTTGCACGTCCGCCAGCTCCCTTATCTCCCTCCAGGGAATTTAGGTCCTGCTGGGAGTTTTCCAGCCTGGTGGTCGCCTTCCTCAGGAGGCTGAGGTTTCCTTAGAGGCCACCATCCCATCTGGTCACCAGGCTGTCTCACCGTCAGTGTCTGCCTGGGCTGCCAGCCCCCTTTCAGGGTGGTTGGGGGGTGGAATCCCACGGACCCAAAGAGTTTGGGGGCGGGGACCGGAGAGCATTTACACTTCCAGCACCTCAGGCTTGCCCTCCTGTCCCCCCTGTTTCGCTTCCCCGGATCCTGAAGCCCCCTCCCCCCGCGCCAGCCCCCAGCTTTAGGGTACCCGGGTGAGGAAGAGATGTGGGACGAGGAGGGGATTCAGATCTAGCTCAGAACCCAAGGCGCTCTGCAGTTGTTGGAAAGGATCTTCCTGTGCCGAGAGTCACTTCCCGCTTTGATCGCGCCAGGTTTCTGAGTGGCTGAGTGACTTGCCCCAAGGCACACAGCTGGGAGCGCGGGTACGCCGGTGTCCAGGTCCGCGCTCTTCCCTCCGCCTGCACGTGCGGCTCCATTTCCTTCCGCGCTCGCGTCCGGTTGCCGCCGCCCCCCTTCCCCGCCCGGGTTCATTTCGGCGGCAGGAAGACAGACCCCGCTTGGAAACCGAGGGCGGGGTGACCCCGCGCCACGAACCAGACGGCGTCTCCGGGCAGGGCTCCCCGCTCCACGTCCGGGGCCGGCAGTGCGGGGCCGCCTGGGGCCCGAAGGACGGCAGATCGCGGCCCGCGCCCCGCCGGCACTGGGGGCGGGGGGGGGG